TATATTTTACTAAACGTACCTATTTTGTTTACTTTACAAAAAATAATTGTAATTTGTCGCCGCACAATAGACGTCGGTCACGGTATTAAAATTCATCATCATTTTAATAGGTTTATATCGACTTACGGCTCGCTAGTAACGATTACAAAAAAGAGAAACGGTTTTTTTAACATCGTTATACTGGTCGCTTACATGCCATACGATATATTATCTGTAAATGCGCGAGATAGTTTAGGCTGACAGCGAAAAGCGCGCGAAACATTTATTTTTTCACAACTCGCACATCCTAATTACTCCAGTTGCAGAGGATGCTGGCGTCTCCGACGACCGTAGGCGCCACAGCAGATTTCTTAATAATTTACCTATGTCAAGGAGAAGATTAAATCAACGTTTTTGACATTCCCCCATTTAGCTTTTTGTAGCAATGATGCATAAAGGGAGATATGCCTATCGTTCCGTTTATGAACGCACTTACGTGTAATTGCTTTCATAATTATTAGTGAGACGCAAGTAATAATTCGCTGTACTTATCATGTAATAAATAAAATATCTTTTTTTAGCTAACTTAAAATATCTTATAAAGGACACGCTATTTTTTTTAGGCAGGAGAGATTACTCATCTTAAAGTTCCCAATATACCTTGGACATGAACTGTAAAATGATGAGATGAAAGTCTATTGATATTTTTTACGTTCATGAAGGGTAAATTTACGCTATTCTGCGTAAATTACACCTTCATGAATGATGGTAGCGTACGCTGAGTGATTTTCGAAATCTGGATTAAAACGCACGAATGAAAAGTTATTCTCTGACGGTGGTAGGGCCCCGCACAGCCTCGGCTGTTGCACGAATGGGCAGGCTCGTCCGGGTAAGTACCACGACCTTGCAGAAGACCGGCGTAAAGTGGAAGTATAATACTTTCGCGTTTCGTCTGGTAAGTGAGGTGGCCGGAGCCTAATTTTCAAAAGGTTGTCAACGCATCTGGAACCCTCGCGGTGTAGCAGATGTCCATGGGCGGCGGTATTCACTTAATATCAGGTGCACCGTCTGCTCGCTTGGCAACTTTTCACATAAAAAAAATACGGATTTTTTTAAGCCACGGCAAGCAAGGACAGCCATAGAAATGTTTTTGAATCATCCATTGCATGGAATCGGGCCAGAGCATGATGCCCTACGTTAATAAACTTATTTTCTTCGGTTGATTAAATGCGCTATCCTTTATAATCAAAGTGAATATAAAAAAAAATGGGCAGAGAAAAATCCTCTACAAGATCGTGTTTAAACGAAAGTTTGAAGATTTTTGGCTATTGACTAGGTCAATTTCAATTATAAGGTATTGTAATTACTATAAGGTTGTGTAGGTACTGTTGGAATGATATGATGTTGCCACTTTTTATTGTTATTTTTATTTATACTTTATTGCAATTACCTTAATCAGGGATTATAAAGGGCGAACTTAATGCCTTTAGGCATTCTCTCCCAGTCAACCCGGGGCGTGGAGATAAATTGTGGTAGGTATTAAGTATTAAGAGACTGGTATTAAGAGTATTAAGAGACTTAAGATTTTTTTCTGTGGTAGGGCCATGCTAGTCTTCGCTGTTACACGACCTCACAGAAGCCCAGCCTGAAGTGGAAGTGTTTGTTATACTTCCGCGTTTCGTCTGGTGAGTGTAGCTGAGGCCCGCTTTATTAAAAGGTGGCAACGCATCTGCAACCTACGCGTGTTGCAAATGTGAATGGGCGGCGCTTAACCGCTAGTGAACCACCGGCTCACTTGTCACCTCCTCAATAACAAAAAAAACAAAACATGGTAGGTATGTCATACAACTTTTTACTTTAAGTTTTATAAAATGAAACGCTACTTTCATTTATTGATTTATATCAGATTTAATAATTATTTATCGACTTGTCCAATAATTGAAGAGGTGAAGAAATTTTAATAAAGACACGTGTAACAGCGATACTTGTAACAGTGTCATTAATAAATTATATGAATACCTAATTAAATATTTATGCATAGTTATTAATACTATTGCTTAAATAAATAAGCGTATAAAAGTAGGTAACTAGGGAACATCAATTTCGATAATTTTATGATGTTTACCAACAACATATGTACATCGATATAACAACCATTGAATGTATTCGAAGCCGTGGTAAGATGTTGATGTCTGAATAAAACAGTCGTAAAAAACTTACATAGTAAATAGATCCTTTAAACAGATCACCTGCTCACTGTGTGGGGTACACAGAGGCTGCTGAGGCGTTCGGGTTGGAATGCGACACCTGCGACCACAAAGCACAGTGCGGGCACAAGATTTTTCACAAGTTTTCTGCGAGAACGATTTCAACACAGATAAAAAAAAACGAGAATACGAATCAACGCGATAACTGTCACATGGAGTATTAAACGTAAAAAGTTCGCGCGTTCAGCGTGAGTGCACCCGTCGCTAACAAACTTGAGAGATCGGCGAACGGACCCAGACTGACGTCACGCAAGCGACGGCGACAGCACGCGGGGAGGGGATGTTAGAATGGGACAGACGAAAGTATCCACCGCCACACCTGTCGGCATACGACGAACAACTGCATACAACCAATGAGGCGGGCGAGCAACATTCGTTTCTAAGGTGACGCAACGCGCTAAAGTTTAACCGGCCAGGCGCTGGGCAGGAAGAAAATGTCGTTGGGAATTACGCGCTGCCTGAGATTAATTTAAATTCTCTTATGCGGTGTTCGAGATTTTAAATTGTTGCATTATTCAAGTAATAAGGAATATGGGTTAATCTACCGTCACCTATTAATTATTAACCACACTAATTATTTTATATACTTTATTCAAAAACGTTATATCAAGTCCTATAATAGTCTATAGTTCTAACGAATCATTGTATTGTTATAGTTAACTAACACGACAACTATTAGTAGTCATGTTAAATAACTATTGACAATGTCAGTGCATTCTTAATGAAGCTGTGATAGCTCAGTTTCCGAGCGCTCGGCTTTAATTCAATTTACTCGAGCAACTTGAGTTCGATCCACAGTGCCAGCACCAATAATATTGTTAATTTGAAGTGCTGACTTATCATGTGCTTGGCGGTGAAGGAAAACATCGTAAGGCAAACTGCATATTTTCAAAATAATATAAAAAGAATATTTCGAAAATATGAGACATTTATAGGCAGTGGGACATTTATAGGCTATTACTTTACTTTTTTTTAATTTTTAATGATCCCGGCTAGAGAAGCAAGGTCTCCTTTTTAGGGGTTCCGTACCCAAAGTGTAAAACGGGACCTTATCACTAAGGCTTCACTGTCAGTCTGTCCGTCTGTCACCAGGCTGTATCTCATGAACCGTGTTAGTTAGACAGTTGAAATTTTCACAGATGATGTATTTAAGTTGCCGTTATAGCAAAAAATACTAATAAAACAGAATAAAAAATTATTTAACTGGGACTCCCATACAACAGACATGATTATTTGGCCGTTTTTGTAGATAATGGTACGGAACCCTTCATACGCCAGTCCGACTCACAATTGGGCGATTTTTAACAAAGAGTACTATTTATAAATTTTATTTTAATTTTAAAATTTGAAAACTTTTGATATACCCAAATTTTCATCGTGCTCTCTGCAATGAAAATTTCATCTCTCAGATGTTTATGACTGATTCGCATGATTCTTTAAACAAGTTCGGGAATGGGACACTACATGAAACTTCGATTCATCTTTATACCACATAATCAGCGGCATATTTGGTCCATTCTGTACTCTAGGCATATAAAAAATTGTAAAGAGCGTAATTAACTCATAAAATGAATGGCGTACGCAAAGCAGGTAATGACTGATTTACTATGAGTAAACTTAATTGGGTTTTTTAGGGTTCCGTACCCAAAAGGTCAACCTAGACCCTATTAATAAGACGTTGTTATTCTATCTGTCCGTTTGTCACCAGGCTGTATCTCAAGCACCGTGATAGTAACATAGTAGAAATTTTCAGATATAATCTATTTCTGTTGCCACTATAACAACAAATACTAAAAAAAAAATAAAAAAATATTTAGGGCCCAGCCTTCCTACAACAGACATATTTTTTGCCACGCGGTTTAAGGGTTCCGTACGATTATCTATAAAAACATAGATAATGGTACGGAACCCTTAAACCGCGTGTCCGACTTGCACTTTTTAAGATTAATTTTTATTTTTAGTGGTAGTTTCTGCACTTGATGAAACTTTAAATTGTAATTTTTTGTAGCCAAATGGTCTATAAATATATCTTTATACGATACGGGACGCACGTGGCTCAGGATCGTGTTTCGTGTCAGTATGTGGGGAAGGCTTTTATACAGCAGTAGACCCGAGCAGGCTGAAATGATGATGATGATGATATCTTTATATTGCTGATATTCTTGATTTCAGTCATATGACGATAATCAAGCTCAACAAGCTGGATACGGCACTCTTCGTTGTGTATGACTGCTTAATTATGCGTGTACTGCCTATTAGACAAGGAATGGTAGGCCATCGGGGTGCGTTACGGATCGTGGCACGGACAGTGAGAACCGCCATGGGACTCAGGTTTACCTTATGTACGCGTGGTGTTGGTCTTAACGTGCTTATGAGGAAACGAAACTAGTTTGGTGTGTATGCTATCACTGTGTGTACGTTTGTCCATAGAAGACCATAATATGAAGAACATAATATTATGTATAGTCTATCCTAAATCAGACGTTTTCCAAATGCAATAATTAATCACGTTATTCATAAATGAAACAACAAAACAGTTTTCATATATTTTATTTATAATACGACGTGCCCGCGTGAGTTAAACTTTATTGTGTTATATTGCTTTAGTCGGTAATAGAGGAAAACTTAATTAGTTTTATATAGAAAATATTGCATTCCTACATTTAAATTACAAGATTATCGCACTTACTATGGTACAAAATGTACAGGATTAATAGACTAATAGTAATAATAATTCTAATATCACTTTATTTAATGATATAAGTAATGTAGTTGCGTCGCGATGCTAGCGATCAGGAACAGGACCCCAAGTATCCCTGAAATCAATAAGTAGGCAATTGATTAAACATTAAATACTAAAAGAAACATTATAATTGAAACTTTACAGTTGTTATATACATGCGAAAACTACTATATTTTGTCGAATAAAAATATTTTAACCATTTTATCGCTTTTATTCCTTACGTTGGATAGACTAGCGTAATAATGAATTCTGAAAAATGCTCAAAACGTCAGACATTTGAAAAAAAAACTAAGGAACAAAAGAAACCTTATACTACACACAAAATTACACACATACATACGGGGAAATGTTTAAAAGACGAGCGCAAATGTTTTTATTTTCAAAGTCTAGCGAAGGACTCTCTACTCATCGCGCCTTGAGAGAATCTCAAGTTAATTTATCCTGGCATATTAGAAAACGTGTGTGATAACTTTATAGCCTCGGTGGCCTACGTGGCATAGGCAGGCTCGTCTGAGGTACCTAGAGACCCATTTGGTGTTGAAGTATTTTTACATTTGCATTACGTATTCGTTCTACACACACAAAGGTCTTTTTGCCTTTGACGTGAAAACATAACGTGCAAACCAAACTCACTGATGGGACACGAAGCGTTTTGCAACGGGGCCCGATACTCGTCAGTGACCTCCAAGAATTGGTAATTCGCCTTAAAGCCGGTGCCGTCCAGCCTGTCGTTGGAGCGGAAGGTCACTTTGAAGAAGCTCCTGTCTGACTCCACGTGGAACTCCTTCATCTGGCCACAGTAGCGGCCGAACCTGCTGTCCTCGGTCATGTAGTTGGAGAACTCCACGTAGTCACTCCCCGATACAGCCTCGCATCTGCAACGTGACCGGGAAAACATTAAACCAATCCGCCGTGTTTCTTTCGCCGGTTCTTCTCAGGTCCAGTGGCTTTTCTTTTCCGAACCGAGTGGCAGCGTTTCGACAATCAATAAAATATATATATTCAAATAAGTAAGTGTAATGCTTCTATATTGAATAAACATATTTGATTCGAATTTATATTTGATTTACTCCAGTAACAGTTGTGAAGTTTTTCATGTGAATTAGACTTTGGTCGCTAGGGATCTGTTTGGAGTGGCGTGCACCAAAGAGTTGCTCGTTTACGGGAGCTTTCGCGTGGAAAATTGCCTATCTCATATTTGTGTTTGGTAGCAGGCGCGACGGCACGACATATAGTGGGGACATCACATAGAAACGCCCGGTTAGGAAAGCAGACAAATTCGAATCAGGAGTTTAAATATACAATAAATCGAAATAAAATGCACTTTTACTTTGTACGTTGTAAAAGGGTCAATACAAATTGTAAAGTAATCACTCACTTCATTTAGTATGTTACAAAGAACAAGTCCATTTTTATTAACGAAAAACAAAACCGACTTCAAATATCTCGCTCTGTATTCATTTTATAATTGATTTTCAGGAGTTCCCTAAGTATCCCCGGAGCCTAAGATCCAATACCAATGAAATTATGTACATGGGATCACATGAGAAGCACCAGCTATCAAATAAAAAAAGAATCATCAAAATCGGTTCGCCCCTGTCAAGTCAGGTCCTGAGGACTTTCTACTGAGTTGACAAACATAAAAAAATACAGTCGAATTGAGGAACTCCTCCTCTTGAAGTCGGTTAAAAAATCAAACAAACTGTGAAATTACACGCTGTATTAATACGCGCATGCAAAAAATACGTGCCAATTGACTGTTAATCGAAAGATCCCCCATCCTCAACAGGGCTGCTTCGTTTGCAAGACCGTGGTGGATTCTAGGACGATCAGTTTTCACTTACGGCAGGACACCCTCGACCCCGAAGTGCGTGAAGTGAAGGTGCACCTTCTCCGTCTGGCCGCCGTGGAAGAAGTAGGCGCACTCGGTGTCGCGCGGGTACGGCCCCGGCCAGTTGGGGGAGGCGAACGTGCCGTTGGGGCTCTCGGTGCTGTTGTAGACGAAGGCGCACGGAAACTCCTTCAACTGCCTCCCGGTCGTGACGCCAAAGTCTGCGAAATTATAGAGGAAACGTGTATCAGGATAGGTAACATTAAACACCGCTGTCCGGTCCCAAATTGGCGACCCAATTGGCGTGGGGAGTAAAGACCTTGCCTGCTGCGCCAGAGGGTGTGGGTTCGATCCCCACTACTGGAAAAATATTGTGTGATGAACATCGTGTTTATCCAGTGTCTGGGTGTTTATATATGTATAATATGTATTTATTTACAAAAGAAAAGTATGTTTAAGTAGGTTTATCAGTTTTCTAGTACCAATAGTACAAGCGTTGCTTAGTTTAGGAGTAGAGAATGTGGTGTAAGAAATGTGTCCGAAATGTGTGTCCGAAAAAAATTAAGCGAAGCTTGCACCACACCAGGTAATTAATAAGATACTTAATGAATACTTTTCTATTTTCTAAATAAATATATATCATAAGTACGTAATTTATGACTGCAGCCATGGGGCTGCATGCAAAGTTAGAACTAGAATCCTTTTTTAATTTTTGAATGTAAGCATTAATTTATTAGTTTTCAAATCACCTATTAAATTAAGATCTATTTTATCTGACAATATATTTTATGTCACAATATATATCTGAAAATTTAAACCAATAAAAAAAGTAATGTAGTTAAGTATCAGCCTATACATATCTCACTGCTGGGCAAAGGCCTCCTCTGTATAGAGGATATCAGGGCTTAGTTCACCACGCGGCCCCACTGCGGATTGGCGGACTTCACATATCTTCGAAATAATTTTTTTTTACTATTATTTCGAAAATATGCAGGTTTCCTCACGGTGTTTCCCTTCACCGACGCGCACGTGATAATTCAGCTCTTAAAATTAATAATTTCATTGGTGCCGGCACCGGGGATCGAACTCAGGTTGCTCGAGTAAATTGAATTAAAGGCGAGCGCCCGAACACTGAGCTATCGCGGCTGTGAATTCTTCTATATTGAATAATGATATTTGAATTTGAATTGACTCCGTGGTACAATGGCTAAGCTATTGTTATGTATTCCAACAATACCAACTACGGCTTGTGCACTTTTGATGTTTAATAATTAACCCTTAATTTCCGAACTAATTAGTTTGTTGCCAACTAAGCTTTCAGCTATTTGTGTTTTTGCCAAAAGTAAGCTCCATTTCAGGCATTATGAATATTTTAACCTTGTACATACGAGACATAATTAATGTTATTAATCCTCTCAATTCTGACCCCATTTTGAGATACTTTGTTTGTTTATTAATTACTTATTAAACATTAATAAGATCAGTTAAATTTAATCACTAACCAATTATAGGAGCCATCGCAAAATCACCACCGTTTGTATAAAAACGTTTATATGTCCAGAACCGTCAAATATGATCAGAATAATTATTCCCCTAAAGAATTAAGACAGATAATCACATTTGCAATAGTTCGAAGTAAACTCAATCAAGTTTTTATACAGAAATCAGAATTATAATATTATGACAGTATCCGGTGATGTTCCGCAGTTTTTGCAGAGAGAAGCAATGATATTGTATACAAATACAAGGTACATATGCCCCTAGAGCATCGAAACTGAGGCACTTGAATTACGCCAATTTATGAAATTAGATTTTAATTATATACTATCTCTTTCCGTATGTGTCGTATAATTTAAATTTTTAAACATCATTGGAGAGAAGCTTGTGCAAGCCTAAACTGATTAATACCGTTTTAAGGAGCATTTTGATTGAATTATAGATGAAAATAAATAAATACGCCATTAATTAACACAAGAATAATTGATTAATAGCAACAATTTAGCATAACTATTCAGCGAGGAAATGCAGCTAGCGTTCTTGGCACCATGCCGCGTGGATTAGGTTTATTAGATAATATTTAATTTTAGATAGATTTAATCTTGTAAATATTAGATCAATAAAGATTGTAAGTCATCTGTTATTGATTAATATCTCTTGTCTTTTACCTTTCATAAACTGATGTAATTGCTTTCAGTCCTAAGACTAATAAAGCATCATCTACCGGAGAACTCGAGAGCTAGCCAGAACCTACGAGTTTGAAACGAAGCTCCTCTTTGGGTAGGGCTCATGCGTGTATTATTTCAGGGATTAATGTCATTTACGGGCCATCGAGGCTTGATACGGACCGTGACTTTGTTTAACTGTTTGGTGGCTGGGGACGGTGAGAACCGCCCTGGAACGTAGGTGTACCTTGTACGCGTTGTATTGGGCCCGCCGTGCTCGGAGGCTAGGGCGAACTATTGTGTTTATTGATACCCTAACTGTGGGTGTCGTGTTATTCGGCGGGACCCCCGACGGTGGGTCCGACGTATCTAAGTCCCCATCCTCGACCGGATCGATGAGGACGTTTCGCGGGCGACGCTTGTTGACGTTCGCGTTTGTGTCGGGTTGATAATTTGCTGCGCTTACCACCAGAGGGTTGGGATGATGTTCGGCTCGATTGAAGAACCGTTTGGTTAGGTCTTTAAATATTCGCGAATCCTTTTGAGTCTGCAATGGCTGTGCAGGCCGACGTTACGTTGATACCAGTGCGCACCGGTTGCGCGGCGGATAAACTTATTTTGTACTATTTGCAACTTGTACAAGCGAGTAGGGTGCGTGTGGGCGAAGGTCATGCAAGCGTAGGACATAATAGGTCGTACGCAGGTCTAATTTTGTGCCTTAAGGGCATTTTACTTTCAGCGTTAGTTACATTGTGTAACCGGCCGGAGACGAACGCGGCTGTATTACGAACGTTTTTATTGTTTTTTTTTAGTGAAAAGTTACCACGCGAGCAGACGGTTCACCTGGTGTTACCACCGATAAAATGTGCGTAGTAAATGACATACGCGAGTCAAAAGTGAATGCTAAGTATTTGACCTTTTTCTCCCAGGGGAGCGGATGGCCATAAAGATGTGACTGGTAAGTACTTCGTGTGAAGTGAATCGCCACACTCTTTTCAGGATTTACTTCTATTCTCCAATTGCGGAACCAATTGCCGAGGCGGTCGGCGGCGCTTTGGAGACGAGTGGTTAGTTGACTAAGGTTACGATCTGAATAAAAGAGCGCCGTGTCAACCGCGAAAATCGCGAGATTGACGTTCGCGAGTTTTATGGTATGTCCCTCATGCAGAGCGTAAAAAGCAAAAGTGAGCGTTGAGAGGAGCCTAGTGGAACGCTAGCCGTGAGGCGGCGGCTTGTGGAGGGGGTTCCCTCGACTCTATATCGAAAAGAGCGGGTCAACAGGAAGGCCCGGATGATGTATACGAGCCTATCTGGCACTTTGTGTACAGCTTGTAAAGGAAGCCGTTGTGCCAGACCTTGTCGAATGCCTTTGCGACATCGAAGAAAAGAGCCCCCGTGCTAATATGTTTAGGGTGATTTAAGCCTTTTAGGATATGTTCCGTTAGGCGGTATAATTGATCGGGATAGGAATGCCTAGCTCGAAGGCCGAACTGTTCCGCCGGAAGAAGGCCGTTGGAAAACACGTGCTCTTTGAGCCCGTTTAATAAAAGCCGCTCATAAGGGCTTCCCCCGGCAACTGAGGAGGCTGATGGGACGATAACTAAAGGGCTGATGGCTGGTTTATTTTGCTTGCGAATGCCGATAACCGTGGCTTCTTTCCAGTCATCCGGGAAGAAGCAACTTGAGAGTAATGTATTGTAGATGGTCGCCAGTAAACAGTTAAGGGGCCCAGGCAGAGATTTAAGAATTTTATTACTAATATTGTCTGGGCCCGGGGCAGAATTGGTTTTAAATTTTTAATAACGTCTTGGACCTCTTCGGGGGTCACTGAATTTAAAGGATCGGTGGTAGCGCAGCCCTAGATTACGCGGTCCACCTCCGTTAGGTGGGCTGTATCGGTGTGTTCGCGCGATGGCGTAAATTACTGCTCTAGGTTGTCCGCAAGGCATTCGGCTTTTTCGAAGTGATCTAGGGCTATTGAAGCGCTATTAGGTACAACTAACGGCGGTGGAGATTCGCGGGGGTCTTTTTTCAGACTGCGGTCCAACCGCACATGCACTAGGTTATGCATCCAGACGCTCTAGCCACTCAACTAAGCGATCGATATCATCTCCAAGCCAAAATGATATCAAATCACAGAAATTACCTATTAAGTAGAAACGTGTTCAAAGAATGTATTGTATCTACCCAAATTAGGTCATCTTGGACTTCGAGTTTGAGTGAATGTCATCGGTTGGTGACAAATTTTTCAATGACTCATTATATATAATTTCGCAAATGGGCACATAATCTTCTATAATATTGGCCTGGGTAATATAATAACAGATAAACTAATAACTGATCAAAAAGTAATAGGTGACATTAGTTAATTTATATTTCATTTATTAAATAAACTGATTTTGTATAACTGATGTTACGCTTTCAGTCCTTAGACTATTAAACCTTCATCGAACGCAGAACCCGTGGGCTCGCCACGAGTTTGAAGGCCTCCTCAGTGGGTAGGGCCGCGCGTGCGTGCGTTAATTATGACATGTCGCCTACATAGAGCTCGCATCACTCGAGCATACTCGCTTTATTTGGAGACTGCCGGTTAAATAATACTATGTCTCCATACGTCACACTTAGCTCTTTAAAACTACGCAACGATTCAAGAGGAAGATTTATAATTATATGTAATACATTACACCCATATGAAGCTGGGGCGGGTCGCTAGTAATTATTATATTGTAATCTCAATAAAGGCGGAAATATTGAGATCATCCTCTTATACAAAAAGTCTTACGATGCATACTCACTTTCCACAAACGAATACGATATTTTGAATCCCCTTGAGTGTCTCGACGAGTGGGTCCCTCGAAACTCTAGCATTAACTTTGGACCGTTGGACATAATCGGATTTGGGAGATCACTCCCGCAGAACGACTCCACTTTCTCTAATCTTCCGTCAACGTTTAAAAATGCTTGCAGTGAATCTACATTCGCGCAACTGGAAGAAAAAAAATTAATTTTATCGCAATGCAATCACTACTATTTAATATTATGTTGATTGAGTAAAATGAACAATTCTATATATATATATTCTTTATATATAACAATTCTGTTGATAAAATTTCTGGTCACTCAAATTTTCTACTTACTCTGATGATCCATCTGCAGGTTTTTGTAAATAAAAGTCATAGAATGACAATCGAACTCTCTCCTTTCCTCTTCCAAAGAACTCATAGTGGCAATGTGTGTTTGGTGGGTATGCAAGAGGGTAGTGAGGTGATGTGAGCATTCCATGTTTTGAACCATCGCTGCTAAATTCCTGATGACACGATGATGCTGAAACCAAAGAAACAATGTCATTTTATTTACAAGAAAGAAAACTTTAAATTATATTTGTTAATAAGTAGTTAGGTAATGAACGTGATGGGACTACCACCCCATATCTAATAATGTCTAATAATAAAACCAGAAGCTCGAAATGCAATTCTGTAGGTACAGAAACATAACAGATTTTTATAAGGAGGGTTAAAATCAAATAGGCAATGCCACTAACCCAATCCAACTCGGATCCAACGAGGGATAAGAACATGAGGATGATGTTGATATTGACAATAACAAAGAAAAACGGTTTACAATTCCGTTAGCTGGGCGTAGGCAATGAGTTTGCGAGTTTTAATTTTTGCGAGAACTTTTTAAGCCAACTTATTGTAAATATCTTAAAGGACAAAAGGCATAATTGAATTTTTTAAAACATTAGTTTTTGGACTTTTATTCCAAATCTTTCCAATTCATGCATATAAAATGAAACTCCCTGCCACAGAAATGGACTTGCGCAGTACAAGTGTCTTCTTGCGCATGGCAAATGGTGTCGAGAACGTCAATAGCATAACGTGGTAAAACAATTAAATCTCTAAGCAAAATTCGATCCTTAGCGCTTGTTTGTCTTATGTTTTAATAGTTTTTTTTTGTGACATTGATGTGTAATTTACTTAAAAGCTATTACCCAATGCAATTCATTTTCTAAAATGTAAGAAAGTCACTGAGTCATTGTCAATAACTCAGTATTGTCCAGATAGTTCTATGTACTCTTTGGTATTGTCAGTCAGTTGTCATTGGCTGGTTTGACACATTTGCTAACTAATCGGCTAATTGGCATGGTTTTTAAATTAGGTAAACAATACAATGAAATTTGATTATAGTAATATTGTGCAATCCTTTTTAAGAGTGAATAAACTTTACTATCTTAAAAATGGCTGAATCTTCTGCGCCGTTTTATGTAGAACGAGCGAAAGGAGGTAGGGCTTCATGTAAAGCCTGCAAGACCAATTGTCAAAAGGACGAACTACGCATTGCGAAAGTAGTTCCTAGCCCTTATGGTGAAAATCAGTATATGAAATCATGGCACCATGTGGATTGCTTTATGAATGTTCTTTTAAAACGAAGACCTACAACTAAATGTATAGAATCTATTGACGACATTGGAAATTGGGTAAATCTTAGTAAGGAAGATCAAGAGTTCTTGTTGAATAAAATAAACGAAACTGAAAAACTATTTGCGAAAAAAAATAATGGTAAATACACACCCAAAGTTCTAACAAACGAGTCAAAACCTGCTAATAAAGTTAATGAAAATAACAAGAAAACACATAGTGAAGATTTAAAAGACAACAAGTTTGGGACGCTCGTGAAGATATGCAAAAGTATAGCGAAAGTGGATGCATATACAGAAAAGACCGCAGTTGTGAATAATTTTTTTACCCAAGGTTGCTCTGGTGACAATTTTAAGGGTGATCTGGCATTATGGTGTAAATTACTTTTACCTCAAGTGACCAAGAGAGTGTACAACCTTAAAAGCAAACAGCTTGTGAAATTATTTTCACGGATTTTCCTCACTGATCATGATAATATGCTTACACATTTAGAACAAGGGGATGTGGCTAATACGATTCAATATTTTTTTTCACAATCTAAAGCTGTGCAACCTGCAAGTGAAAGTACACTATCTATACAAGAAGTTGAAGATTTCCTTGAAGATCTTTCAAAATTGACACGCGAGGAAGAACAGATTTATCAATTCAAAAAAATTGTCAGGAAATGTACTTTGGACGATATAACCATGTTGATTCGTTTAATTAAAGGTGATTTGAGAATAAACGCTGGTCCAAAACATATTTTAGAAGGTGTTCACCCAGATGCTTATCGCATATTTCAAACATCTAGAGATCTTGATATGGTTTTGGACAGAGTTTTTACGCAGACTGATAAAGTGAAACATAAAGATGCCTTGCAAAAATCCATGCAAGCTAAATTAGTACTCATGACACCAGTGTTACCTATGCTAGCTGAAGCTTGCAAATCGGTTGAGATGGCAATGAAAAAGTGTCCAAACGGTATGTTCTCGGAAATAAAATATGACGGTGAGAGAGTGCAGGTGCATAAAAAAGGCAATGAGTTTAAATATTTTTCCCGTGCCCTTAAACCAGTTATGGCACATAAAGTCAATCATTTTAAAGACTACCTGCCTAAAGCTTTCCCAAAGGGTGTTGATTTAATATTAGATGCAGAAGTACTAATGGTAGATGTTAAGACTGGAAAACCGCTGCCTTTTGGTACTTTAGGCATACACAAACAATCCGCATTTAAAGATGCTGAAGTTTGTCTTTATGTTTTTGATTGTCTTTATTATAATGGGGAAATATTGATGGATTTGCCTATTAAAAAACGAAGGCAAATTCTCCTTGATAATATGGTTGAAGTAAAAAATCGAGTTATGTTTTCGGAACAGCAGTTTATTGAGAAACCAGCTGATTTGGCTAAGATGATAGCAAAGGTATATATTTCTTTCTTTTATTTTCATTTCAATATTCCATATATTTGTTTTTTAGCCTTAAAGTAAGTGAGACAGTTTTCATTGTAAGGAATTACATCTATTTATTTATGTATTCTATTATTTATAAATAGGTTATTTTCCTTTTAGCTTTTAACAGAAAACTCTAAATAAAGTTACAATAAATAATAAATATACTTGAATGTTAATAGAACATGTAATTAAATTTCAGGTTTTACAACTGGGCTTAGAAGGTCTTGTTTTAAAGGACTTAGAGTCAATATATGAACCAGGCAAGAGACATTGGTTGAAGGTGAAGAAGGATTATTTATTTGATGGAGCAATGGCTGATACAGCAGATTTGGTGGTTCTAGGGGCATGGTTTGGTATATTAAAATTTAATATTACACTGTTAACACAAATTTTTGTATTATGATATGAGTATATATGAGCCTGTACAAGAGACTGCTGTGCACAATATAATTAATTCAATACATAACTAAAATATTACTCTTCTTAAATTCAATATTCAATAGAAGGGAGCTTCTATCTTGGCAAATACATTTGTTTAACATAATATTTTACCTTTCAGGGACCGGTAAGAAAGGTGGTATGATGTCAGTATTTTTAATGGGCTGTTTAGACACTAATCGAAATTGCTGGGTGACAGTCACTAAAGTACACACAGGCCATGACGACAGCACATTGGAAAGGTTGCAAAAGGAATTAGCTCCGTTAATGGTGAAAATATCTCAAGAGTTTACAAAACTCCCACACTGGCTGGATTGTAACAAAGGGATGGTTCCTGATTTTATTGCAAAGGATCCCAAAAATCAACCTGTATGGGAGATAACAGGTTTGTACTTTGTGTTTTGCATTTATTGTTATTGTGTATTAAATTAACTACATGAAAATTACTAGCTACATTATTAAAGCATTAAAGTTTAACAAAATGATTGATTGCTTGCATTGATAAAATTAAATAGTAACAATTAATGTTCATTTTAGTTTATTAATTAATGTAAGCTTAGATGTAATATGTAAATAATTTGAAAACAATAATATACCTATGTAATATGTAAAGAACCTACCCTAATATAACTTAACCTGATAGATATAATTAAATAAATAAATATATTTAGTATATGTTTTTCCACAACATTCTCTAGTCCCAAACTAAGCAACTTGTACTATGGGTACTAGATAACTGGTATACTTAATACTTGAACATACTTTTTTTTGTAAATAAATACATATTGTGTTTATATAAACACACAGACACTAGAAAAACATGTAGTGGGGATTGTACCCAAACCCTCTGGTGCAGAAGGCAGGTACACTACCCGCTATGCCATTTGGGTCGTCAAATTTTTAATCTAATTGAATTTAATTTTCTAATTTCAAATTAAAATCTAATTGAATTTAACAAATTTTTCTGTATTATATAATAATATGAATTCAAAAGTATTTACATGAATAGTGAGTGTAAAAAGAAAATATTGAATAACCAGAATGATTGTACCTTCCAGGGACTGAATTAACTAAAGCTAACCTACACACAGCTGATGGCATATCGGTGAGATTTCCAAGAGTAACAAGGATAAGAGATGATAAGGATTGGAAAACTGCAACAACTTTAAAAGAGCTGAAAGAATTGTATAATACATCTAAAGAAAAAACTGATGTTTCTCTATTAAATAAGCTGGCGGCTACTGCTGCAGATGATGACGAACCACCAAGAAAGAAATTAAAAGCAAGTCCATCTAAAACTTCACCTTCAAAAAGAAATGAAACTAAAAGTCCAATATCCAAGAACAATTTAAAAATTGATAAATTTTTTACAAAGAAAATTTCACCCAATAAAAGGAAGGCAAACAACTTTAATGAATCAGATACAATAGACACTGTCAGTGATATTTGTGGTACTGATAACGACGAAGTTGAAACTAAGCATGTTGGTTATCAGTTGCTGCCAGAGAATCCTTTACCTGATGCATTCTTGGATAAAAAAATAGGTTTCTATCCTGACTTTATTAGTATTCCGGAAGATGAAAGGAGACATTTGGAAAGACATTGGATAGCGTATGGGGGTGATGTTGTAAAGTCTTTAAAATTCATGGATGTTGACTATGTTGTACATATAGATAGTTCTATTGAATTTATGAAAATGCAGAAACTACTAACTAAAATACCTCCTGGCGTGAGGCACGTCACAAAAGATTGGTTAACAAAATGTATCAAGAAAGTCAAATTATGTGATACAAAGAAATTTGCAGTGACTGTGTTACCACCATAGACTGTCAACATAAATTAAAATATTTGTATTATATAAATATATGTGACTTATAATTTAAATATTATAACAGCATTGATTCATATTACATGGACATAATAAATTTCTACCTATGGTACCTACATGTAAATAAATGTAATTAAAGTATTGAGTTTTACTGTTATTATATTTTGATTTGATGTTTACGATAAATAATTTTGTCGGTTTCCGAATTCAAAATGTATAATGTAAAAAACAATATAAATTAATTGCTTTGAAATATATCAGTCAACAGAGACTGTATTTAATACATGCATTTATATATGTTTCAATCAAGCCTATTATGCTTTGTAACATTGTTAAACTTAATTGAAGTAGCATTAAATGTGCTTCCAATTTTTGTAATAAGTTACATAAAATTACAAAACATTATTATTAAGTGCTTTGATTGTAACAACAACTGTTTTGGATTTACAAATAAAGAAAATTTCTTTTGGATTGTTATATTTCTTTTATTTTTAATTATTAAGATAGGTAATTTGTGTATTGAAAAAAATCTAATAGCCTCTTGACTTATAATTTATGACTAAATATTTCTTTTTGCTTGTAGGGGTAAACAATTCTACTTTTTCCAATTATCATAACTATATAATATATAAATAAAGATAGGTCCTAGCTCACACATGAAAATGTAGCACCAGCGTGAGCATAGAATAGCGCCATCTTTTCGTAAGCTCTTGAAGTGTAACGTTATTATTAAAAATATAAAATATTTTTTAAATATTAATTCAAGTTCTCTGAAATAACCGTAACCGATTTCAAGTTAAATTGTGTATGAAAAAAAATCTCAAAGCATATTGGGTAGGTAGTGATAGTGATAACATAGTGAGCAGATTTTTTTTATGTGACAAAGTGGCTAACGAGCTGGCGGTTCACCTGATGTTAAGTGATAACCGCCGCCCATGGATATTTGCAGACGCGTTGCCACCTTGAAATAAAGTGGGCCCCAGCTACCTCACTCACCAGACGAAACGCAGAATTGTAACACTACTTTACGCCGGTCTTCTGTGAGGTCGTGGTACTTACCCGGACGGACCTGCCCATTCGTGCAACAGTAAACACCGTTGCGTGGCCCTACCACAGTTACCAGTGACTGAAGTTTGCAATTTAATAGGTACATTGGGCAAGCAAAGAAATAAGCTTCATCTACAAATGAATGCTGCAAATATTAGTCCAATATGTATTTTACGTATAATTAACATAATTTACAATTAAAAATAATCTAATACATTATCAGCTCAAAGAAAAGAACAAACACAAACTAAATATTGACTTTTGGTGGTTGGTAATTTTAAATTTCGAAATGGTTGCTGCTTTCTTCTTGTACATAATTTAACCTATAAGACATGGTGGTATTTCCGGAACGATATGATTTACGGCCGCTTTCAATATTTTATCTCGGTAGATTTGGTTACTAGCGACAGTATCAGTAACCAAATCTACAGATATAATATTCAAACTGGCCGTTAGGGTCGTTCAACGAGAGAGCTATGCAGAGGAGAAGATTGGTTGTCAAGCACGTCTTTGTTGGATGCGGTCAAATAAGATTCTGAAGAATCTGATATTTTGGCCACTATTCGTTAAAAAAACAAATGTGAACTAATGTTTTAAATTAGTAACATGTTTAAATAACTGTAGACGCTGGCGCTTAAATTTGTTGAGACGCCACTACGCAGGTTCATACAAATTGAGTCTCCCGTATATTAATTTATTAGGACTTATCAATTTAATTTAACCGTTACCTATCAATTAGTCAATGTCAATTACACTTAATTAATTATATTATAATTAAGTGATATATTTATATCACTTAATTAATTACATACGGATAACGTGTAAAATGCTTAAAATTCCTTAAAACAAAACGCAACGCTTTTAGATTTCAGGGATTAGTGAATAGGAGTACGGTAGTTGTTTCCGCTGCTCAACGTCTCTAAGGGGACTTTAGAAATAGCGCAAATATGGCTAATAACCGCTGAAAACGCCTTTAGGCCGTGCATCGTGTTTGCCGTTTTAAATTTTCAACGGCGCCGCTGCGAACTCCGTAACGCAGCGAAGCTTGTGTTTGCAAAACAAATTAATTATTAACCCGGATTGTACGCCACGCGCACATATGAGACGCGTAAGCCGGCATTACTCGAGCTTCGGATACGAAGTAATTGTATAAGTTTGAACGAAAACTGTCGAGTTGGCTCGTTAATAAAATAATATGTTTAAACGCTGTTTGTAAGAGGATTGTGTGATGGAGGTCAGGGTATTTTACGGGTTTTGAGTTCGCAGCTTGATAATTCGGTGGAAGTTATAAAGGTCAAACGGGAAGCGATGTGAGTTTCTGATCGTATTCTGTGAATTCTTTGCTTCTATGCATTAATTATCTTCATTCAAAGTGAGACACAGCTAAAATTGTCTTTTTAGCAGAACATATTATGTACGTTGCGTTTTAAGTAGATATGCTATTAAATACGTACATATAATTATTATAATTAAGTAATTTCACATCATTTTTGCTCTAGTGTGTAATATAAAAAGTTTGGTGAAAATAATGAAAATGGAATGGTCGTGAAACATTCATAATTATATACCTAAATATACAATGCAAAGCCGACTTATTTAATTTTTTCAGCAAATCAAACAAGTCTAGCTTCAGCAGATGTTTCACACAGTCGCTACTGTGTCATCGCCGGTCATTGTTTATTCATCTCGCTTGTACTCGGCACCCGGATAATTATGACGCGTTTTGCCATGTAGGTCGCCTATGCTATCGGTATTAGCAAACATCAGAAAATGGGCCTTGTGCAGAAAATTATCAAAGGTATTGTAATTTTTTTATAGATAAACTAACAAAAACTTTAAACGCTGCACGATTCGAACCTTAACAACCTAAGTTATACCGATGACCTCACGGTGCGAAAATATCGAGGTCTGTCTACGTTCTTTCTATTGCAATTTTAGCAATGTTTAGCACCATTTAGTATGCATCATTTTCTATATGAAACAACTTATAGGGAACATTCAAGGATGAGAATTTATAACGAGACATGTCGCCTTTACTCTTAAAATTTTAGGAATACGTTTGTGGTGCGTCCATACGATCACATGCACATACACATAGAAATACATACACGGAGAACGATGTAAATTATGTAATTTGTTGCTTTTCATCGATTTTCTATAATTTAGTTTTTTTTTTTGCCTGATTTTTAATATATTACAACCCAATCATATCTTTTTTTTTAACATTTTTGTTGTTTTTTATTTTAATTTTCTTACAATAGCAATGTGTGCTAGCTATGAGGAGGATCTGTAATAACACAGCAGTCTGTAACACAGTTCTAAAATATCACAGGCTACTGGACTTCTAATGATTAAATGTTTTTCACTTTTTTAACGAATAAACTTTTTATTGTTATATTTTTATAAAATTGCTAACTGTGATATTTGTCATAGTGCAAGTTAATCCTTATAAACTCCTCCATAGTACGATTTTTTAAAGCAGTATTAGTTTATAACCTGCAAAATTGTCGTTTTATATGGAAAAATGCAAAAAATCTGGTGAATATGATGGATGAAAAGAGTTTCCGGTCTAAGCACTTGAAATTTTTAACAGTGTTCAGTTTTGTTTGTATAAGAGGTTGTAATCATCATTTTGCAATTCTGTGACATGGTTTAGCTATTTACTTCTGTTGAATTAGTTCGAATTTACACAGGATTTAATTTAAAAAAAAAGTTAAAAGCTTGATTCGATTTTATTATTGTAATTCCTTTCAGAAAAAATTGAAAAATAACGAAATAAATATGAAAATTGCTATGTATGAACAATATTTTAAAATTCAGTTGTGTTACTTCAAGTTATCTTTTTATCACTTTCCAATCCCACATCAATGAATTAAATCCGTGACATTGTTATATCGCTTTATTATGTAATTGAATCTTTTGAAAATAAAGTAAAGTAAAGTAACAGTCTATACATGTCCCACTGCTGGGCAAAGGCCTCCGCTATAGAGAGGGTATCAGGGCATAGTCCACCACGCGGCCCCACTGCGTATTGGCGGACTTCACATATCTTCGAAATACCTATACTTTTTGTTATTATTTCGAAAATATGCAGGTTTCCTCACGATGTTTTCCTTCACCGCGGAGCACGTGATAAGTCAGCACTTAAAGTTAAAAACTTCATTGGTACCGGCACCGGGGATCGAACTCAGGTTGCTAGAGTATATTGAACTAAAGGCGAGCGCCCGGACACTGAGCTATCACGGCTCTTTTGAAAATAATTGCTTAATATCTGATTGCTAAACAGAGTAATCCATTATACATGTAAGAAACATTTTTGATATGACAGTGTTGTCAAATTTGATCTCTCGTGAGTGAGACGAAGAGAAGCGAAAAAGATGTCGAAGTCGGTTAATCGACTAATGTAGCGCTCTATTATTAGTGTCTTATCCTATGGGAAACAGGGTGACCATGTATTTAAAGACAATTTCCAGTGGCGTTATTCAAGTGCTTAAGATTTCTATAAAAATTAGCATGGACCGAATTGATTAGATGTTAAGTTAATTCGCAAATAGTAAGACTTGATGATATTAAATGATATCGACTTGGTCTTTTTGATGGATTTCAGGACATTTGATAATTAAGGAGACAATTCTTGCTTACATTTGTTGTGTATTTTTAAACTGCGCAGAAAACAGTTAAATTGTGAAACTGCAAATGAAATTTAATTGTAACATGTATACTATCAAACAATATAGTAACTTACCACTATCAAACAACTTGACGTTTACGGCATAGAGTTCGCTCGTGTTTTGTGTTCCCACTTCGAATGCAAGTTGCGTGAGCTAACGCGTTTAAACTGTTTTGTGGAGTTCTTTCAGGCTCGGGATATAAGCTCCTTGTAATGTGAAACCAATTGCTATCTACGAGTATTTATACTTCTCGTGTGCGTAGGTAGGGTCATAATA